GTATACAATTTTTGAGGCACGAATGTTTTTTTCAGTCTCGTGTCTCTGCATGGATTTTTTTGAATGCATTTAACCCCTGCACGAATTTTTTTTCAAGACTATTTGTACTTCACTGTTTGCTTGCACAATTTTTTTTCTCTGACGTAATGGCTGCACAAATTTTTTTGATATTCTATATACCTCTCGAACCTCTAATATTAATATTTAAAAATGTATGTAATAACAATACAACGAATTGTATTGTGTCTATTATAGCAATCTAATAAAGGTTATTACATGTCTTAAAACAGTTGAAAACAACCAAACTAGAATCTCAACATGCTGTCTCAATCTCTCTGTTACTGCGCATGTCCGCTACAGGTATCCCATACCTTACACTATCCTCCTTTTAGATAAAACTAGTTCCCACAGTTTTTAAAAGTTCATATCATAGTTAACAAACCATTCTGGAGGTCTTCGTTCTCGCTGTGGTCTCTCATTCTCGTCAGTTGGTTCAGGTTGCTCAGCCGGAGGATTATCATTATCTTGTTCTGCGTCTTCAATTGGAGCGGCAACATCTGGACCTTCAATGACTCCAACAGCTGCATCATCAGTTTCTAGCGAGTCGCTCAACTCTTCCTCTGGAACCATGGTTTTATTATCCGGCGTGTCAGGTTCTCGGACGGCATGAAACCGTGTCAATTGATTGTGATGGACAACTATATCGTCTCTTGACGCTAACTTTCTCGCTTCCTTCGTACTTTATCTGGTACACAACTTCTCGCAGTCGTTTGATTATTCTCCACGGTCCTGTCCAAGGTCTGTTCAACTTCATGCACCTTCCTCGTCTGGTTTTCCTATCAAGCCACAACACTAGATCTCCTGCCTTGTAAACGTTGGCCCTTGCCCATCGATCATAGAAATGTTTCTGTGTTTTGTGTGCAGAGTGAAGAATGTCATTCGCGGTTTGAAACACTTTTGATAGCCTGTTCTTTACCTGTTGAGCATAGTCCGTGTGTGATACGAGACGTCTCTCATTTTCACCTGGCTCCACAAGGTCGTTCGGCAACCGAAGCTCCCTTCCAAACTCTAAATAACTTGGCGTAAATCCGCTAAATGCTATGTACCGCAGTGTTGTACGCAAAACATGACGAAGATACGTTTCTTTGGTCATCTGCAACTACTTTTGCTAACATGTTGTTCAACGTGCGGATACTTCTCTCCGAAGCGCCATCTGATTGGGGATGGAATGGTGTAGTGCGCGTATTCCAAACTTCCAGGAAGTTACAGACTTCTTGAATCATTTTTGCCGATAGATTCTTTCCCTGATCATGGTGAAGTTGCTCTGGGGTGCCATGTCTTGGAATCCACCCATCAAACACCTTTTTTGCCACAGTTTCTGCTTTCTGATTCCTTAGGGGGAATACTTCCAACCATTTCGTAAAATGGTCAATCATTACGAGGCAGAAGCGATATCCCCGAGGACTTAATGGATATTCTACGATGTCCATAGTTACAATCTCTCCTGGTCGCCGTGTCATAATTGGTTGTAGTGGTGCTGTGTGTGCTGGAACTGGATTTCGTCTTTGTTGGCAGACTCTACGTACACTTCTTGCACCACTCGTCTATTTGAGAAGACATTTTTGGCCAAAAATACCTTTCCTGCGACCGTTTTAATTTTTTTGAATAACCTGCCAAACAGCGTACAGCGCCAATATTAACCATTTTAATACAAAATTATTATAAACCTTTGCAAAATTTGCTTTGTTTACAAAACTTATATTATGCATAGATTGCTAATTTGTCCTCCAGATGCATCATCACCGGCGCTGTGAGGTCATGTGCAATGGGTCTATTGTATTATCACGCAGCTGTCGTACGGGTGTATGAGCTAGAAGTTCCCGTAACATGGAGAAACATTCGCTCAAATTGCAACACAATCGGCAGAACTCTGACCTGGGACTTCATCACGTGTTGCATTAGCAACAATTCTTATAATACACAAGTCCCTCCTTAATTTTTCCTTCTTTCTTTCTTTTCATCATACTTTGCTTCCATCTTTCCTTTTTTGTAATTTGCACTTTTTCATGATTTTATAATATGTAATATAAAAGTCAACGCGTCCAAAACGCTGTGAAATATAAGCACATAAACTTATCAGTCAAAACAACATTCAGCTAGAAATATTGAAGAAAATATGGGGAACAAAATGGGATGGTTTTTGTGAGACTATACTGGAAGTAAAAATCCCACATTCCACGCCATTTTCACGTCCACGTCGATGTCGCGTTGCCTTTGCTAAATCTGTCTGTTCTAAATATTATACGGCACTGGTATACCCACAAACCAGCCATACTAGCTCCAAACTCTACCCTTTCTATCCTACTAAGAGAGGAAATATTACAAATTCTGTGTATTTTCATCAATTAATTAATGCAGTTAATACTAGATTTCAAGGTCCAAACATAATCGCATTCAATTGATGTATCTATTGACTAAATCTGCAAATCTTACAGAATTTACTGTAAATATTAAATTAAAAGCAAAATTGACTATAGAATAACCATTATTAATACCTGTATTTACTAACCATTCTCATTTTCCTTTCCTTATTTACTATCAACCAATTCCGAAATTATTTTATTCAATTTGGTTTTATTCTCTTTATACATGTTTTTTTTGTAATTCTTATATGATTGTCTAATATTCATACTGCCGACTTGCAGCCTATATTGGCTAATAGACTATTAAGGTACAAAATAATGTTGTTTGTTGTTGATATAGCTATTTCCGCGATCTTTTATACAATAAAATTGTATTGCAAACCGAAAAGGAATAAAAAACAAAGATGTATATTTAATATAGTGTGAATTGCACAATGTAGTTTTGTAAATATATGCATGCATATATAAATGTAGAACAAAAAAGTAGGCTACATGTGATATTCATTCACTGTGAACAACATGGTACATCCATTTTTATGTCTTTTCTAAACTGGATGCTATATACGGTAATTATAGGGGTTACCGTAAATTTATTTTTAAGCTAAGGGGGAACCAAAAATCTAAGTTTGACTAAGGGTGGCGTCACGAAAAAAAATAAAAAAAATTGCAAAATAATCCATGCCCCCCCCCCTAAATAATTCAATGAACGGTTCGTAAAAATTGGGCAGATTGTAGGGGGAAGAAATTATGCAAGGAAATTATACATAAACTTTGTATAGCAGCGACAGAGAGCAGAAAAGAAAATTAGTGATGTTTTAGTATTCAAAACACCCACAGCAATCTTTTATCAGATTTATAATACGAGGCAATATCGATTACCCAAGTGTTTTAATAGATCTGATTAAACACGTTCTTGGGGTTTTTAAATATAGTTTCAGAAACGGTACATTTGAACTACCTGTAGTAATTAATTTTGAAAATCAACAATGTCTAACAGGAGAAATTCAAAGATGAAGTTTATTGAATTCTGATTTCTCAGTGTTTTCCCCCACATAAAATTAATTATTAATGAGTGTTTGAAAGTTATAGATGTATCTTCTTCCAATTTCAAGTCCCCCCAGAATTTGCTTTACCAGAATTGCAGGACTTCCCGCCTTTTTTCATCTGGAAAAATCTTAGGTTCCCCCAGTTTCGCATCCATCTGCAGGTCCCCCCAGTTTCTCACAGTGGTGTCAAGTAACGAAGTAAATGTACATCGTTACTGTACTTGAGTACTATTTTTGGGAAGTGAACATGTAACTTAGTAAACTTTTTCTGCAGTACTTTTACTTGGAACGAAGTCGTTTTAAGAAGGAACGTTTTACTTTGTTATTTTCATTTTGTGGCGAAGTATTTTGTTACTTTCTAACTTTGGTCTAATTTTACGTAATTTATTCCCAGTTTATTTTAATTTGGGATGGGTAATAGGACCTCTACATGCGTCTGGGATCTCTCGTTTGTGACTTACTTATAAGCATTATTGATTTAATGGATTTCTTATATCTTCATTGGAGTCTGGAAAGTAAACGATGCCGTGAAATATTGCATATTTATAATGCGTGTGCTGTTTTGTGTTTTTTTTTTATCTCAATCCATGAATGGAGAAGTCCCCCCCCCCCTACACTCTACGGACAATAGTACTCTTACTTTCAAAGGTTCCAACCCTCCCGTTCCATCTCCCGATTTATATTTAAACCTCCAGATTTTACGAATGAAAAGAAAAAAATGTTACTTTTTCTAAAAGAATCCTTGTAACGCCGTTCGCGTACGGTAAAAACGGTTGTCGGATCGACAAAAAAGCGGTATTTCGCCAAGAGGGGTGTTTTGTACGACAAAGTTTCGTAATATTTCGCATGAAAGGCGGAAATTTACAGTTGTTGTATTCACGAGTCTCGGAATCAAGAAATGGCGCTTCTGAAAGAAAGTTTAAACTTTCTAAATTTTCTACCCAGTCACACTAGAGGTCAACGTTTTCTTGCCTTTACCAGACCTCCCGATTATTGGAGATGTCAAGTTGGAACGTCTGTTTAACTTTGTCCTTCGAGTATTTTTTAAGGAGACTTTGTACTTTTTACTTAAGTACGTTTTGCCTCCAGTAATTTTTACTCTTACTCAAGTTGTTTATATGGTTAATTACTTCTACTTTTACTCGAGTATAAATTCAAAGTAATTTAGGCACCACTGGTTTCTCATCCCCCCCCCCCCCCCCCCCCTCCCATAAATAATGAACGGTCCCTTACATACAAACGGTCCGACAGAAAAAAAAAATTAGCGGTTACACTCCACCAGTCCCCTCTTGTACGCCTATGTGAGACTAATAAATGCGACACACAAAACTAATAAACTATAAGGAAATTCTTTTATAACTTATTGTTCTTATTGTTCATATAACAACCGCGTTTTTGAGATTTAAATCAAATGCCACTATATTATGCTTAACATGAAGTACTTCAGTCACAGAGAATATAAGGCGCCATATTGGTTTATAAAATGTTATTTTATTAAACTTGCTATCGCCGGCTGTTTGAGACGAATTGGCCATGTAGAATGATGAGTGTTGAACTACTTGTTGTAGCTAGATACCATGTGTTAAAAAAGGTATTTCATTGCATATTTCTGTTTATTTTTTATCAGTGAAAATGAAGCAATCTGATTGGCTGAGAGCCTTTCAGAGCGGGCCGGTTTTTTGCATCCGGCCCGCTCTGAAACGCAACTGCCCGCTGTGAAATGCAACTGCCCGCTCTGGCTTTCGCGACAAAAACTGAGGAGTGAAACAATTTTTTAAAAGAAAAAATCTGCCAAAAACGTTTGAAAAACATAGCCTAACGATAGTCAGAATACAAAAATGAATTGCATCAAGCCCTAAAGACTTCATACTAAGGGACCGGTCATTATTTATGGCAGGGGTGGGGGCCGAAGAGAAAGTATAATGAAGCCGGAAAAAATCATTACCCCACCTTTTTTGAAACAAAATTTCTAGCTACCCCACCGGTGGAATGCCAGAAAAATGTTTTACCCCACCCAAACCTATTTTGTTGCAATGTCAAAGACA